CTGTTCACTGGTAATTACTACTAATGATTTATACCCATTGATCCTTGAAGAATACAACTAATGTCGCATGATGGGAATGTCTTGGTGATGTGAATTTCCTGTCATGTCAGTCGTAATCAGAGATGAGAGCTGGGGATGTCAGGCAGAATATTGATGAGTACTGACAGTCTGAGAAGACTTGAGGACCAGAGGTTAATCTGTTGTTGATAAACATCCATGGACTGGAAATCTCCCATCTGGTACCACAACACTATTTCATTCATGCATTTGTTTATAAACATCCAGCAGACGTAAACAAAACAACAACAGACAAGGGTATTGGTTTTTAACCAGTTTTAATGAACCCTGATTACAGCTTAATTACAAGTTTGAAAAATAAACAGGAAAGAATTAAAGAGAAATTCAATGTTACATCATGGTATTAAATCTCATCTCTGTTTGAGTGTTATATAACCGCATAGAGAGGGGAGGGAGAAAGAGAGACCTTTACACAGTAAAACAATACTAATCGGTTTTCCTTTTAAATGAAACAATCCCCAAAATGAAAAAATATAGAAGAGCGAGAGAGAAAGTAACGTTGTAAAATAGAAATTACATGACGAGATAAAAATCATACGTATCCACCCCACCCTCCCCAATAAAATCCTCCCCCTGCCAACGTCTTATCTCTCTGTCGCCATAACAACCCCTCGCAGAATTAATATTACACTTTTAGTTTATCTTACAAATGTAAAAACCGCATAAAAGATGGAGGGGGCGGGGAGCTGGTAGGGGGTCATAACAGAAGCATGGAGGAGAGGTCCACGTCACTATGACAGAGTGATGTACAGTACACAACAACCCTAAAGCAAACTGAACCATGGACTAATAATGAGAAGGAAGGGGAGGTAAGTCATCCAACCATAACAATAAGAATAACAATAATAATAAACAGCAATATCGACATCAGAAAGGAAAAGAACATTGGGGGATTTTTTTTACTTTGCTAAAGAAATGTCATCCTTCTACACTTTGTCTAGCCCTCCTAACTGCCGACTCAGACATTAAACCCTGGATATTCCCATCCCACACCATCCTGATAAGAGATCACACTGCAGTTAACAGTCAGGTAGACAGACAACGCTGGCAATAGAGAAAGAAAGAGAGCAAGCAGAATAATGCCCAGTCTGTTGCTTAGATATGGTGAGTAGTTTATAAGGCAGCTGTCAGTTTCAATAGACACAGGGTGTGGTGGAAGTGAGGGAGGGGGACAGAGTGTGTGTGTGTGTGTGTGTGTGGTCACATATACAACAGCCCCAGGATGGACAATAACAGCAGTCCCATGATTGATTGTGAGTTGCTCAGCCACTCGCCTGCCAGTCTGGAGGCCTGCCATCCCAGAGGCCCCTGCTAGAGTTCTTACTGGTTGGTCAAGTATTTGATTGCCCTGAGCCAATCAGAGGGCCGTTTGGCCCAGTCTCTAGACCATCAAAGCAGCAAAACGGTGCGGGCAGAGTGTGTGGGAGCGGTTTGGAAATGCGAATGTGTGTGTATGTGTTTGAGATAGTGGGCAGGGTATTCCAGGTGAAGTCTCACATGTCATCTCTCCAGCCTCCACTGTTATCTGTACAGCAATCATTAACCCATCAGCCTCCACCCCTACCAACCTGCTGGGAATAGTTAATCCAGTCACGATTAGTAAGCTGGCCGCTTTAGATAACTGGCCTAAATGAGTTGAGCTGAGAAACAACAGGATTTCCCATCAACTAAAATCCCCTGGCCTGGCTAACCCTGAGCTCATTCACTCCTACTGGGGACCGGGGTGAGTTGTGAGGTCCATTATAGTGAGGTGAGGTCCCCATAGAGGTGCACTATCAAGGTGAGACCAGCCCAAAGAGGTAGACTGAGGACAGGTGACGGTGGCCAGGTCAGGTCAGCTCTGGTCTTCTACAAGCTAAGGGGGAGTAGTGGACCATATGCTGGCAGATAGAAATAGTCATGTTCAAAGGGCAGCGTCTGCATATTCAGTGTACTAGAATGCAGTTCTTTCATGATTCGCATTATTTTCATAATTTTGTCTGTATATCCTGTGTCGTTTTTTGTCCCTTGGTCATAACAAAACATTTGGACCCATCCCGTTGTCTCCCTCCCCTTATGAAGTTTACCTGCTGAGAAGCAGGACATTCTCTCCCCTCGCCTACCATTTCATTAAATGCTATGTTGTTTTAGTTTTTTATATCAGTTTGGAATTTCATATATAATATATACTGAACAAAAATATAGACGCAACATGCAACAATTTCAAAGATTTTACTGAGTTACAGTTCATATAAGGAAATCAGTCAATTGAAATAAATTCATTAGGCCCTAATCTATGGATTTCACATGACTGGGAATACAGATATGCTTCTGCTGGTCACAGATGCTTTAAAAAAAAAGTAGCATAGAGTTGATCACACTGTTGATTGTGGCCTGTGGAATGTTGTCCCACTCCTCTTCAATGGCTGTGTGAAGTTGCTGGATATTGGCGGAAACCGGAACACGCTGTCGTAGACCCAGAGCATCCCAAACATGCTCAATGGGTGACATGTCTGGTGAGTATGCAGGCCATGGAAGAACTTGGACATTTTCAGCTTCCAGGAATTGTGTACAAATCCTTGCAACATGGGGCCGTGCATTATCATTCTGAAACATGAGGGGATGGCGGCAGATGAATGGCACAACAATGGGCCTCAGGATCAAGTCACGGTATCTTTGTGCATTCGAATTGCCATCAATAAAATGTAATTGTGTTCGTTGTCCGTAGCTTATGCCTGCCCATACCATAACCCAACCGCCACCATGGGGCACTCTGTTCACAACGTTGACGTCAGCAAACCGCTCGTCCACACGACGCCATACACGTGGTCTGCAGTTGTGAGGCCGGTTGGATGTACTGCCAAATTCTCTAAAACGACGTTGGAGGCGGCTTATGGTAGAGAAATTAACATTCAATTCTCTGGCAACAGCTCTGGTGGACATTCCTGCAGTCAGCATGGCAATTACACGCTCCCTCAAAACTTGAGACACCTCTGTGTCATTGTGTTGTGTGACAAAACTGTACATTTTAGAGTGGCCTTATTGTTCCCTGCACAAGGTGCACCTGTGTAATAATCATGCTGTTTAATCAGCTTCTTGATATGCCACACCTGTCAGGTGGATGGATTATCTTGGCAAAGGAGAAATTCTCACTAATATGGATATAAACAAATGTGTGCACAACATTTAAGAGAAATAAGCTTTTTGTGTGTATAGAAAACGTCTGGGATCTTTTATTTCAGATCATGAAACATGGGACCAACACTTTACATGTTGCGTTTATATTTTTGTTCAGTGTATAAATATATAGTTTGTATGAGTGTGTATATCTCAGTTGGACTTTCTCTTTTTATACATTTTTTTATTTATACATGCTATAAAACAAGTCATAGAGAGGCAGTGTGTATATGTGTATGTGTGTCTACAGGTGTGCTTGCATATGTGGTGTTGTGTGCGTCTTCTGCTGGTTTAGTTAACACTATGAGACTATCGTTGTTAGAACAGGAGTAAGAGGTTTGGGTGGAGCTGGTGAACTAGGATTCTGTTCAGGTGCCCCTGGCTTCTGCCCAGCCCTGGGATAGACTAGGCTAGGATAAGCTAGGCTAACAGTTCAAAGATACTGGACCCCTCACTCTCCTTTTCCATAGGAGAGCTCTCTGACCCTCCCAATGGTCCCCTCGCTGTTCCTCTCTGTCATCTAACACCTAGCCACTGCTCCCTTCCCCCTCTGTTTATCCTCCACTCCCCACCCTCTCCCTTTTCTCATTTAGATCATGATCTTTCAGGAATGGTCCACAAAAGAAAGGGAATGAGGTAGGAGAGAGAGAAAAGCTAACAGAAAGAGAGGAAACTATAAAAGTAATGACAGAGGAGTGTTAGAGAGAAAGATGCTGTGTTGAATAGCAGTACCCTTCAGTAGCAGTCCAAGAGCAAAGCTTCCATGTCCCAAAGGTCTGTTCACTGCCCTATTCAACACCCGCTGGTGTGAGTGTGTGTGTGTGTGGCTTCCCTGAGTGGAGTGGCCAGTGTTGCGAGGAGGAGTCTTTGCCAGTTCACCACGACTAGGTCCCACAGCCCCCAATCGGCAGGCCAACTTTCCTGTGTGTCTATTATGGTTAAAGAACAGGGGGGAATACTCTTACACCCATGCTTTTTTTTCTCTCTCTCTCTCTCTCCTCTCTCTCTCTCTCTCTCTCTCTCTCTCTCTCTCTCTCTCACTCTCTCACTCTCTCACTCTCTCTCTCACTCTCTCTCTCACACTCTCTCTCTCACACTCTCTCTCTCACACTCTCGGTGTGTTTGATACAGGTACAGGCACTTGTAGAAGCCCCGTCTTCATCTCTATACAAAAATAAAATGGGAGAAATGTCATCCTCCATGTCTGCGGGGCTGGGGAGCCGGGTGGCTGGTCTGTCTGAGTTGGGGTCCCCTGAGGAGAAAGAGTCTAACCCTAGAGGGGGGCCAGAAGGCAGGAGAGGTGAGGCAGGAGAGGTGAGGCAGGAGATGTGGGGCAGGAGATGTGGGGCAGGGCTGGAGGCTGGATATGAGGCTGACGGTGGGCTGGACAGGAGGCTGGCTTGGGTGTTCCATCCAGACACAAGCAGAGAGTTGCGAACCCCTCTGGTTCTTCCCCTGGTTTAAGTCACTGAGTCTGGGCTTGCTTGGACCAAAAGTCCCCTCTCCCCTCTTTTCTTCAACAGTCTCTGAGGGAGGGTCTCATTACAGTAGGAGGTAAGGGGTTTGGGAGCGTGTGTGTGTGTTCTCAAGTCAAGGACTGCATCATGGTTTGGAGTTTGATTAGGACAAGGTTTAGTTTGAGTTAGGAGAGAACTGTCTGTCTGTCAGAGTGGCAGGAGGACTACAGAGGAGTCATTTACACTGTCCTAAACCACCACTGACTGCTAGCATTAGTGTTTGTATGTATCCCTATGTGTGGATCAGCATCAGCAGTCCTTGTTCTCCAGTGACAGTTGGGCGGTGGCCCGGTGCAGGTCCTGGCTCACCCTCCTCTGAGCCAACGGGAGGGTACACTCATACCCCCCCAGGGCTGGGGAACTGGGGGCACTGCCAGCCCCGTTCTCCTCCATCCCTCCATTCCTCTCCGTCTCCCTTTCCCTCTCCTTCTCCTCCCCTCGTACTTTCTTGTCGTCCTGCTCTTCCATGGCCTCCATGCGTTGGTCTTCGCTCCAGCGCCGTTTGAAGCGCAGCTTGAGGGGAATGCACTTGGTCTGCCCCTGGGCAGGGGACTGGGGAGGTGGGGTGTCGCCTGGCTCGGCCGGCTCACTCTTCAGGGTGGGAGGTCCGCGGTGGGGGTGGGAATGGTAGTGGGAGGTGAAGAAGGGCAGCAGGCCTGGAGGAGGGGGCGCGGGGGCCTTGAAGACATCCTCATCCAGGTCGTCGTCGTTGGGGTGTGGGTGGGAGGAGGTCCCGTTGGGGTGGTGGGGGTGAGGCCGGGGGTGTCGGGGGGAGAAGAGGTCGTACTCGTCGCCCCGGTCATCGGGGTCGTCATCGCTGATGTCAGTCACCTCCACCTCCTCTTCTGACTCAATGTCTGAGATGGGCTCCACCTACAGAGAGAGACAGAGAGAAAGTGTTGATATCACAGGCACAAACGCTTTAGCTACCATCAGGATCCTCAACACATACAGTCAAATAGTTCAAAGTGACTATGTCCCCTTGTGTGTGTGTCTCACCTTGATCTTGGGCAGTCCAGTGCTGTTGAGGGAGCCGGTGGAGGAGGAGTTGGAGATGAGTCCTGACCCGCCGGCTGAGCTCAGGTCACTGCCGAAGGACAAGGAAGACCCCAGACCGGAGGACGACAGGGACCCTGAGCACGAGGACAGTGAGCTCTGCCTGGGGTGGTGGCCCTGGCTACCGTCCCTCTGCTTCCGGCCCAATGGAGGAGGCTGCAGCTTGAACTTGAAGGGCGAGAGGTGAGGCGGCTCCTCACCCAGGTGCAGCGGGTGGTGGATGGGGTGGGAGTGGGAATGGGCCGAGTGAGGGTGGTGGTGGGCTGAGTGCGGGTGAGGGTGGGGGTGGGCCGAGTGCGGGTGAGGAGAGTGGGATTGGGATAGGGGTGATGGGTGTCGATGACTATTCAGACCTGAGCGTTCTCCTCTTTCCCTCTCTCTCTCTGCTCCCAGTTCTCTCTTGTCTTGGGCGAGGCGGTGTGGCTGGGGAAGGACGACGTTGGGGTAGTGGAGGAAGGCTCTGGGGCTGAGGTGGTAGTTGTAGACACTCTGGTGGTGGGCCTGCAGGTAGCGCTTCATTTCCTCAGGGTTGAAGGAGAAGTGTGAGCCCAGCATGGGGGAGAGGGAGGGGGACGGGGTGTAGGGCAGGTGGGAGGACGGGGTCATGGACAGGGCTGGGGACAGAGGTGGGGCTAGGAGCCCTGCACCCACAGGGCCAGGTAGGGGGGACACGGGGAAGGGGGACAGGTTGTCGGGGTGGACCCTGTGTCCTGGGGGGCAGCGGGAACCTGGGTGGGCATTGGGGTTCCCTGCTCCACCATACATCCTGAACAGAGACTCATGGGACAGACGGGGGTGGATCATACTCCTGTACCCTCCTCCTCCCCCTCCCCCAGTCAGCCCTCTCTCTCCCCCTCTCTCCTCCCCTCCTCCCCCGTTGCCGTCCTCGATCTCGGAGTTGACAGAGGTCCCGTCGCTGCAGTCGCTGACCGAGCCGCGCGCCATGCGCCGAGCCACGGCGCTGAACACGCCCCCTGGGCTACGCAGGTCCTCATTGGGCGAAAGCATGTCGGACGGCGTGGAGGGTGGGAAGCGGAAATGAGTTCCGGCTCCGGTTGGCACTGGGGGAGCACTCTGAGGAACACCACTACCTGTTAGAGGACAGGAGAGAGAGGGAAGACAGGAGAGAGAAAGGAGAGATACAATGATGAGGGGAGTAATATACACTCTTCTCCTGAGTAATGATATGGATTAGCACAGTCAGTGTTTAAGGATTTAGTCATGTCTGTGACGCACACCACACACACACACACAGTGAGTGGTACCTGTGGAGCCCATGTCTATGAAGGGGTAGTTGACCAGGACCAGTTTGTTGAAGTTGAACTTGTAGGTGAACCTCTTCCCTTTGGTCTTATGGAGGATCCTCTTGTTGTAGTAATAACTGGTGGGGAAACAGGCCAATATGGGGTTACACACTGAGACCTTTAGGTCCCATTATTACCTGTACCATGCTTCTCAATATCAACACACAGTCATACAGGAACTCTTAAAATGGTACCACACACAGGTGAAATTATTTCATTGAAAACACGTCTAAATAAACCCAGGTCTGTCATGTCCCTCCACACACAGCTAGTGAATGGTCTTATTAACTAGTATTTTGTGACGTCCACACAAAGCAGCCAGGAGAGATGGTGTGTGTGTGTGTAAGTCTGTTATTTTGGGTGTGTGTTTAACTGCATCCAACCAAAACAGAGGCACAGTAGTTTAGTCGTGGTTTTCTCTAGGCCAACTGGTCACACAGTCCCCTGTTCCTCTGTTAGCCCAGCCCTAGTCCATCTCTTTATATAACATTCCTCTAAACCCACCAATAATACACCCATGCTTGATCTGTTATATAATGTCCATTCTCTCTCTCTCTCTCTCTCCCATGGCGGCCGGCGGGGTGTCTATAAGTCTCCATCTATATTAACCTTTGTCCTGTTATATAATATCTTTCCATTTTCTTTTTCCATCTCACATCCCTTTATATTAACCCACAGCCCCTCGCCGGCCTAACGCCGCTCTGACTAAGTGACTGTGTGTGTGTGAGCGCGAGAGTCAGTGTGTGTGTGTGTGTGTGTGTGAGAGAGAATGCGTGCGTCCATGTGTGTATGTCAGTGTGTGAGTGCGTGCCCTTGCTCTCCAGATCCCCTTCCAGTCAGTCCACTAAAGGGTGTGAAAAGATGGTTTTTTAGATGCCGCTTAGGTCAGCATATAGAGGAGATGTGTAGTGGACCGGCAGCTAGCTGTACTGTCTGTAGCTAGCGTGTTAAGAGGAGGACAGGAGAGAGAGATGAGGTTAGGACTGCTGGTTATACAGTAGCATTAGTGGTGCTCCAGTAGTACTGACTGCATGGGTCTGGGCCAGTCAGCAAGTCAGTCAGCCAGTCAGCCAGCCAGTCAGTCAGCCAGTCAGCCAGCCAGCCAGTCAGTCAGTCAGTCAGCCAGCCAGCCAGCCAGCCAGCAAGTCAGGCAGCCAGTCAGTCAGCAAGTCAGGCAGCCAGTCAGTCAGTCAGTCAGTCAGCCAGCCAGCCAGCAAGTCAGGCAGCCAGTCAGTCAGCAAGTCAGTCAGTCAGCCAGTCAGTCAGTCAGCAAGTCAGGCAGCCAGTCAGTCAGTCAGGCAGCCAGTCAGGCAGACTAGCTGCCATTATCTCCAATGGCTGTTATTTTACCTGGAGCCTCCCACTCTTATTATGCTAATGACAGACTTGTGGTGTCTTTGTGTATGGAGGCAGACTGTAGCTCTTTTTCCATGTCTCTCTTTCCCTCCATCCATCACACTGGATCTGATTCTCGCTCTCCTTCCTTCCCATCTCTCCCTCCCTCTGTATCTCATTCCCTTCTTCCATCCTTCCCCCTTTAACATCATCTACCACTTTATCCCTCCTCTTGCTCTTTCCCTGTGGGCGATGGAGACAGAGCGGGAGACAGGACAGGCCTGCTCTGTTGGAAACCTTGTTTAGGTCAGGCAGCCTCACAGCAGTACGTCTCTCCATCTCTGACAGAGAGGAGAGGCACACGGTCCTACACAACTCTACCCACTCTCTCTTTCTCCACCCCTCCCTCTCTTCCTCCCTCTCTCATCACATAGTCAGAGTAAGGGAGCACTTTAAAGAGCATTTGAACGCACTTCAAAAGAGAAGAAAGATGCTTTGAGGGTCTGTGTTTAGCTGCCCAATACCCCCCCACACACACGCGCGCAAGGGTGCACACACACACCTAAAACCCAGGGAAACATCTTTATCCGCTCATAATCAGATGTAACAATAACCGTGTGGATTTAGACTTAGTGAGAGACTTCCAGGAAAATGTGTGCGCTATTTGTTGTGTGTGTGTGTGTGGGGGATTGTGTGTATACAGTATGTGTGTGAGATTGTGAGGTTGTGAGATTGCAGGACAGGGAGTACACCCACGATTACAGACGACTAAACTGGCTGATCAGACAAAAAAAAAAAAGAGAAGTAGGCCTACACCAGAGAGAGAGAGAGAGAGAGAGAGAGAGAGGAGAGAGAGAGAGAGCAAGAAAAAAAAAAGAGAGTGATGAGAGAGAAGAGAGAGAGTGAGATGAGAGGGAGAACAGAGGGATGGGTACTTTCCTGGAAAAAGTAATCAAGACAGTGCTGTGGAATTCCCAGAGTTGATGGAGAGAGGAGAAGAGAGGACAGAGGGATCAGAGATGAGAGAAGAAGAGAGCACCGATGAGAGAGGAAGAGAAAGTAGGGGAGAATTGAATCCTCTTAACAGTGTCACTGGTCTAACTATCCTTCTAGCCATATAGCTGCCCTGTCTATTGGAACACAGCTAGCCTCTTCATGCTGCCACTATCAAAGAAATATGGCTGCTTGATACAGAGTCATCTGGTCTCCAGAGTACCATAGCTGCTCTCCACACACACACACACACACACACACACACACACACACACACACACACACACACACACACCAACTATTGTCATATAGCTGCTCTCTCTATCCCTCTTCCTCCACACAGACAGGCACGGACACACACATTGTTGTGCAGTAAATTGGCGCTTACTGTGACAGGAAGTCAGGATTACAACGCCCTCCATGAGTCCCTGTTGATTTTCTGCCTCTTTCCTCACACCAGCTGCTCACACTCAGGTGTGTGGCTTTATGCACGTGAGACTTAACACTACTGGAAAACCTGGTGTGGATGACCGGTGTTGGTTGGTGGCTGAACTGTAGTGTGTGTGTGTGTGTGTGTGTGCAAAGATGAGGGTCTGGCTGTGGGTCTGATTAGGCTGTTCACATGCTCTAAGAGTGTGTGTGTGTGTGTGTGTGTGTGTGTGTGTGTGTGTGTGTGTGTGTGTGTGTGTGTGTGTGTGTGTGGAGATGAGGATCTAGCTGGGGTCTGATTAGGCTGGTTACATGCTCTGTGGGCGCGAGCGTGTGGTCGAGTCTACTCAGGGTGTGTTCTGCACGCACAGCAAATAAAAGACTCATTCTATCCTGGACAATGAGATGCACACACACACACACACACACGGGAAACACACTCGACACAAACTCATACAGTCACCCTCTCCTCTCCCTCTCTCTCTCCATCCCCTCATTCAATCTATACAATAGGCTCTGTTGTAAGACCGGGACTCCTGACCTAGTCACAGTGGTGTCACAGCAGTCCTGCTCAATCAAACACACACGGAGTGAACACGGTCGGTGTATGTGTGTGTGAGACGGGGGAGGGGTATCCTACGGCGCCTGATGGTCATCTTTGCCATCTAACCTCTGACCTGTATGAGCTGCTAACAGTCATCATCATGACCCCATCAGAGGACCAGACCAGTACTGGGAACAGAGACCATAGGTATAGCATCAGCCCATTCTTCTTACCATTAGGACCAATATATACAACATTTGCAGAGAGAGAGAGAGAGAAAGAGCGAGAGAGAGGCCCAGGGCTTTACTGTGCGACTGCCATCTTGGTTTTCTCCCATAGCCCTACAACCAGTACACTGATGCCATTGTCCACTCTCCCTCTCCATCCCTCCCTCTCTGAGCACCGGGTGGAGAAGGGATCCACAGTGGGTCTGGGGCTACAGAGAGCTGAGGAATTCACCAAGGTTTTACTAGTGCAGTAATGTCTATGGGACGGGTTTGATTCCAAGTGCTGTGAACCAGTTGCCCTATTACTGTGATTAATATCACCAATAAAGTGTTGTTCATACATTTCACTCAGAGCAAAATAAACAAATAAAAACTGAAAACAAACAATAAGAATCCCCGATCTACTCCCTTTGGCATTTTGCTCCATTCCCACACACACACACACACACACACACACACACACACACACACACACACACACACACACCTCGTTTGACACCGCGGTATGTGAGGCCATGGGTCTGTCACCACAACAAACCCTCTCAAGATGCACATCAATAGTAATGTGGCAAGAGGATTAATGGCACTAAAGATGAATGAAGTTCTAAAACACACACTGTAGCAACCATCCCCATATGGAACACATGGCAGTAGAGTGGGCCACATTGCTCCACACATATGGGAGAAATCTGGAGACCAAAGTCAGTGTGGTACCCAGGACTTCAGCTGGAGTTAACTTACACACACTCTCTCTCACACACAGTTCAAACAACACGCCTGTTTTCAAGCCCCTGCACTTCAATCACTCGCCCCCATGATCTTACAGTTTCCTGTATAGTGTGCACATGGTGATTTCCCCTTATCATGAATACTATTGTATTCCTGTGTGCCTGTGAGTTGACTTTCCAAGAGCACACACGACTCTGGTCCCTGCGTCATTCCTGTCTCCTGCTCCCACAGCCAGTGTGAAATTCACACTCCCACAGTGAGGATTAGGCTGTGTGTGTGTGTGTGTGTGTGTGTGTGTGTGTGTGTGTGTGTGTGTGTGTGTGTGTGTGTGTGTGTGTGTGTGTGTGCACGAGCATGCTGTCTTGTACTTCTATCCTTGTGGGGACATGATATCCCCAAAAGTCCCCACAAGGATAGTAAAACAAGGAAAATTCTCCCTTGTGGAAACATTTCCACGTCCCCACAGGGACAAAGGCTATTTAAAACGTATGAGTTTGGTTTAGGGTTAGAATTGGATTAGGTTAAGGTTTAGGCGATAGGGTTAGGTTTAGGCGATAGGTTTAGGCAATAGAGAAAATAGGATTTTGAATGGAAATCAATTTTAAGTCCCCACAAGGATAGAAAAACAAGTGTGTGTGTGTTAAGGTCAGAGATATGAGGGAGAGAGTGATGCGCTACAGAGGGAAAGAGAGAGATGCGCTACAGAGGGAAAGAGAGATGCGCTATAGAGGGAAAGAGAGATGCGCTACAGAGGGAAAGAGAGATACGCTACAGAGGGAAAGAGAGATGCGCTACAGAGGGAAATAGAGATGCGCTATAGAGGGAAAGAGAGATACGCTACAGAGGGAAAGAGAGATGCGCTATAGAGGGAAAGAGAGAGATGCATTACAGAGGGAAAGAGAGATGCACTACAGAGGGAAAGGGTGAGATGCGCTACAGAGGGAAAGGGTGAGATGCGCTACAGAGGGAAAGAGAGAGATGCGCTACAGAGGGAAAGAGCGATACGCTACAGAGGGAAAGAGATACGCTACAGAGGGAAAGAGATACGCTACAGAGGGAAAGAGATGCGCTACAGAGGGAAAGAGATACGCTACAGAGGGAAAGAGAGAGATGTGCTACAGAGAGAAAGAGAGAGATGCGCTACAGAGGGAAAGATAGATGCGCTAGAGGGAAAGAGAGATGAGCTAGAGGGAAAGAGAGAGATGCGCTACAGAGGGAAAGAGGGATGTGCTACAGAGGGAGAGAGAGATACGCTACAGAGGGAAAGAGAGAGATACGCTACAGCGGGAAAGAGAGAGATACGCTACAGAGGGAAGAGAGATGCGCTACAGAGGGATGGAGAGATACGCTACAGAGGGAAAGAGAGAGATGCGCTACAGAGGGAAAGAGAGAGATGCGCTACAGCGGGAGGAGATGCGCTACAGAGGGAAAGAGCGATGCGCTACAGAGGGAAAGAGCGATACGCTACAGAAGGAAAGAGAGATGCGCTACAGAGGGAAAGAGAGAAATGCGCTACAGAGGGAAAGAGGGATGCGCTACAGAGGGAAAGAGAGATACGCTACAGAGGGAAAGAGAGATGCGCTACAGAGGGAAATAGAGAGATGCGCTAGAGGGAAAGAGAGAGATGCGCTACAGAGGGAAAGAGAGATGCGCTACAGAGGGAAAGAGAGATGCGCTACAGAGGGAAAGAGATGCGCTACAGAGGGAAATAGAGATGTGCTACAGAGGGAAAGATGGGAGAGAAAGAAAGACAAAAAGGGGAGAAGAGTGAAAGAGGAGGAAGGCTGCAATGAATTGGGGTAGCTTACAGTGAGGGTTAGGCCATCAGTGGCTACTAATACATTATATATTTAAGCAATAAGGCTTGAGAGGGCTAAGGGCTGTTCGTACACACGACGCAACACGGAGTGCCTGGATACAGCCCTTGGCCGTGGTATATTGGCCATGAACCACAAACCCCAGAGGTGCCTTATTGCTATTATAAACTGGTTACCAACGTAATTAGATTAGTAAAAATAAATGTTTTGTCATACCCGTGATATACCACAGCTTTCAGCAAATCAGCATTCAGGGCTCGAACCACCCAGTTTATAAATATAAATACACTCCCAGTTAAATGTTTGGACACACCTACTCATTCAAGGGTTTTTCTTTATTTTGGCTATTTCTTACATTGTAGAATAATAGTGAAGACATCAAAACTATGAAATAACACATATGGAACCATGTAGTAACCAAAAAAGTGTTAAACAAATCAAAATATATTTTATATTTGAGATTCTTCAAATAGCCACCCTTTGCCTTGATGACAGCTCTGCACACTCTTGGCATTCTCTCAACCAGCTTCACCTGGAATGCTTTTCCAACAGTCTTGACGGAGTTCCCACATATGCTGAGCACTTGTTGGCTGCTTTTCCTTCACACTGCCGTCCAACTCATCCCAAACCATCTCAATTGGGTTGAGGTGAGGGGATTGTGGAGGCCAGGTCATCTGATGCAGCACTCCATCACTCTCCTTCTTGGTAAAATAGCCTGTACACA